CTGGATCCGCGCAGCTCGTCTCCAGCTTCGGAGGAGCTTTGGCTCTGACTTCCCTGTTTTGCGTCTGCACTCGGACAGAGGCGGAGAGTTCTCCTCTGGCCTCCTGAGTGCCTACTGTCGTGCGCGAGGCATCCGTCAGACCTTCACGCTTCCGGACTCACCGCAGCAGAATGGGATTGCTGAGCGCCGCATTGGCATGGTCATGGACGTCGCTCGTACGTCCATGATGCATGCGGCTGCTCCCCATTTTCTGTGGCCGTTTGCGGTCAGGTACGCTGCGCACCAGATCAACCTCCACCCCAGGGTCTCTCGACCGGAGACCTCCCCAGCCCTGCTGTGGACTGGGAAGGTTGGCGATGCGTCGGCGTTCCGGGTCTGGGGATCTCGGGCGTTTGTTCGCGACCTGTCTGCGGACAAGCTGTCCCCTCGTGCTTCTCCCTGCGTCTTCCTGGGGTTCCCCCCCGACGCCCCTGGGTGGCAGTTTTACCACCCCACCTCTCGACGTGTTCTGTCCTCCCAGGACGTCACGTTCGACGAGTCGGTACCCTACTACCGCCTCTTCCCCTACCGCACTCCGTCCCTCCCCCCACCCCCGCTCTTCTTGGTACCAGGTCCCCCCCCGGTAGTCCCCCTCCCCCCTCAGGGTCCTGCCCCTTCAGGTGTGTCCCAGGTAGATGCCGTCGAGCCTGTCGAGGTCACTGGTGACTCTGGTGCTGCCGCGGGAGCTGAGCCTGGGGGTGCGGAGTCTGGGGGTGCTGAGCCTGGAGGTGCCGAGTCTGGGGGTGCTGAGCCTGGGGGTGCTGAGCCTGGGGGTGCTGTGCCTGGGGGTGCTGAGCCTGGAGGTGCTGTGCCTGGGGGTGCTGTGCCTGGGGGTGCTGAGCCTGGGGGTGCTGTGTCTAGGGGTGCTGAGCCTGGAGGTGCTGTGCCTGGGGGTGCTTCGTCTCGCCGGGAGCCACTCTCCCCACAGGAGCTGCGTGAGTGGTTTGCCGGGCGCTGGAGGCGTGCTGCTGGTGCAGAGGGTACTGCTGCTGCGCGCCCCGCCGGCGCTCGTACTGTGGGTGCTGGAGCTGCTGAGTCTGAGAGTTCTCCTGGAGCTGGTCCTGCTGAGGGTGTTGGCGCTGAGCCTGCCGTTGGCGGCACGACTGACAATGCTCCTGGTGCTGCGGCTGGAGGTTCTGGAGCTTCTGGTGGTGCTGCTGGAGGTGCTGCTGGAGTGGGTGCTCCTGCCGGGGCTGTTGGTGCTGTTCCTGCTGTTTCTAGCGTCGCCGCGCGGCCCCGACCGTACTTCGTTCCGCTCCTGCAGCAGGTTCTTGGTCTTACACCTCCTCCTCCTCCCTTAGAGGGTCCGCAGCCTGTCCGGTCACAGCCACAGCTACAGCCTGCCTCCCCTTTGCCTGCTCCTTCTCCCTACGCTGGTCCGACTGGAGGTCTTACTGAGCGTCGTGAGCCTGCGTCTCGTCCTGTGTCGCCTGTTCGTACTGAGCGCGCTAGTGGTCGCGGCTCGCGTCAGCGTCCTCCTCCTGTCCCTGGCACGCACCGGATGTCACTGCGTCCGTCCACTGCTCCTCTGCGTGCCCCTTTGCCTTCTCCTCCTGCTTCCTCTCTTCCTGCTCTTGCCGACCCGGAGTCGGACGCTCTTCGTGCTGCCAGTCCTACTGTCACGCGTCTCCTGGCTACTGCTGTCACTGACCCCTCCTTCGAGTCGTCTGCTGCGTCTGCCCTTGTCACTGAGCTTGTCGACTTTGCTGCGCGCTGTCGTCTAGACTACGCTGCTCGTCTTGTCACTGAGTCTGCGTCCGCCTGTCCTCCGTCCGTCGGGGGTGAGTGTGCCCTTGGCACGGACGTCCTTGAGGACAGGCAGGAGGAGTTCCAGTGTCTGGCCGCCGCTTCACCTCGTCTCGCGTCTGTACTGCTAGCCCCTGAGGGAGACCCGGATGCACCAGACATCCCGACTCCGCGCTCTTACGCGGAGGCGATAGAGGGTCCCTACTCCTCTCAGTGGCAGGCAGCTATGGATGCAGAGATGGCTTCCTGGAAGTCCACAGGCACCTACGTTGACGCTGTTCCCCCTCCTGGGGCGAACATCGTCAGTGGCATGTGGATTTTCAGGGTGAAGCGGCTGCCGGGTTCTCCGCCTGTCTTCAAGGCGCGTTACGTGGCTCGTGGCTTCAGTCAGCGGCAGGGGGTTGACTACTTTCAGACCTTCTCCCCCACCCCGAAGATGACCACTCTTCGGGTTCTGCTACACGTTGCTGCTCACCGTGACTACGAGCTGCACTCTCTCGACTTCAGCACAGCTTTCTTGCAGGGCAGCCTGCACGAGGAGATCTGGCTGCGTCGCCCACCTGGCTTCACTGGGTCCTTCCCTCCTGGTACCCAGTGGAGTCTCCGGCGTCCAGTCTACGGTCTCCGCCAGGCGCCACGTGAGTGGCACGACACACTGAGGACTACGCTCGCGGCACTTGGGTTTGCTCCTTCCACTGCCGACCCGTCGCTGTTTCTGCGCACCGACACCTCTCTGCCGCCGTTCTACATCCTCGTGTACGTCGACGACTTGGTCTTTGCCACAGCTGACACTGCTGGACTCGCCTACGTGAAGTCCGAGCTGCAGAAGAGACACACGTGCACTGACCTGGGTGAACTGCGCAGCTACCTTGGCTTGCAGATCACCCGGGACAGAGCACGCCGCACCATTACCCTGACTCAGTCACACATGGTGCAGCAGGTCCTTCAGCGCTTCGGCTTCACGTACTCCTCGCCTCAGGCCACTCCTCTGCCTACTCGCCACTCGCTCTCAGCTCTGCCTTCGGATGAGTCCGTAGAGTCGAGTGGCCCGTTTGCAGAGCTTGTTGGCTGCCTCATGTACCTGATGACCTGCACACGACCTGACCTCGCATACCCTCTTAGCATTCTCGCACGCTTTGTTGCTCCTGGGAGACACCGACCAGAGCACATGGCTGCAGCGAAGAGGGTGTTGCGCTACTTGTGCAGTACGTCGGGCATGGGGCTAGTGCTTGGAGGGCGCAGTCCAGTGGTCCTCACTGGGCACGCAGACGCTTCTTGGGCTGACGACCAGGCTACGCAGCGGTCGTCACAGGGTTACACCTTCAGCCTTGGTTCCGGCTCTGTCTCGTGGCGGGCTACCCGCTCGTCTTCTGTTCTCGGCTCCAGTTGTGAGGCTGAGATCTACGCTGGGGCTATGGCTGCACAGGAGTTACGCTGGCTCACCTACCTGCTGACCGACCTTGGAGAGCAGCCTCGTTCTCCTCCAGTCCTGTACGTAGACAACAAGGCCATGCTGGCCTTGTGTCGAGAGCAGCGACTGGAGCACAGAACGAAGCACATTGCTCTTCGTTACTTTCTTGCTCGTGAGCTACAGCAGCGTGGACAGCTGCGACTTGCGTACGTGGCCTCTGAGGCCAACACTGCTGATGTCTTCACCAAGGCACTTGCGCCTTGTGATCATCAGCGTTGCTGCACGCAGTTGGGTCTTGTGCCTGTCTTGCCTCACTTGCTCTCCTCTTGACCTTGCTTGTACTTTCGCATATATATACTCTTGTTCTTGTATATCTCTATATATGATCTTGCATGTGAACTGGCCTTGTGGCCTTTGAACTTGTGCTCGGAATGCGTGGTGACTTTGTGATCCACCCTGAGCTTTGCTTTGCTTTGCTTGACTGGTCTTGTGACCCCTTGTTCTCCCCCACTTTGCCTATGGGGGTGTGTCAGAACTTATAGCTTACTTGTTTCTGTAGGCTATAGTGGGGTATCCCATAGGGGGTACAACCCAATTAGGGTTTCCTATTTGTACTCACTTCGTTCATAGTCATTCCATCCTCGTTCTTTGTTTCCACAAGGTGCGTGAGTCCCTTCGAGTGAAAAAATCAAAAGTTGATTTCCTGGTGTGCGGAGATGCGCGGTCCGAAAAGAAAGGGGCTCTGATACCAAGTGTTACGGGTGCAATGAATCGAGGTAGCGAGAATTGCACTAAGGTGTCAAACGAGTACAAAATGTGAGCGAAGGCATGAGCGAACATTTATACGCGAAACATGCAAAACGGTAACGCGGTGCGTGCGAACTTGCTAGTGCTACGCTGGAGCGAGGCTCGGGCTAGTCCCGAAGCGTAGGCCGATACGGCCATGCCAGCAGTGCGAGGTTTGGCAAAACAGTGCGCGCGAAGTCGGCGAAGTTCCGTTAGCAGTAACGGGCGAATAATCGGCTGTTGCTGTACGCGATGTAGTCGGCTCCGTAAGGAATGCCGAGAAAATTCCTTACAGCAGCAAACGAAATAAAGTTATCGCTAGTAATCTTGCTGCTTCGCTACACAGATGGTTTCTCTGCTCATATCCACGTCAGACTTCTGAATCTGGTCCAATTGCACACCGTCAGTCCATGAGATTGCCTGTCCCACAAGAAGTTTGGCGCAATCGCCTGCCAAGGTTACCTGCCGAAATGAACCAGAGCGGGAATTTCGATCCCCGCGCGCGGCTGGCGAAGTTCGCTGACTTTCTGTTCTGCGACACGCAATGTAGCCAAGCTGCGGCTGGTCGCTTTTCGCCAGTGCGGCCCTCTGACAAATGTTCTGCCCGACAGACAAGGGCAATCGGGATGAAATGTGCGGCTTGGTTATCGCGCTTCGGAGGTAAATGTTGAGTCCTCCCCGCATTGAAAATGCCTCGCAATTTCTCAAGCAAGCAACTCTGGCTTGGCTGTGACAGGTGCAGTGCAGAGCAGAGTAACCCAGGCACCGAACTGGAGGAACCAAAGACTGCATCGTCGTCGTTGTCGCGTTTTAGGCGCAACCGAGCTCAACAGAGGGTCGCGCGCGATCGCCAGGATTCCAGTCAAATAAACTCACAGATGAAACGCCAACGCTAGTCTAGAGTTGTTTTCTGATAACTTTTGCAGACATAGCTGGACGAGTAGGCGGATAATCTCGCAGACCCGCTGAGTCCCACAGAACGGCTGAGGTTGCAAACTCTTGGAACAATTCAGAAACAATGGCACGGGCTAGGATGTGCGGGCTGCTGCTCACGCTCACCCTCTCCGCCGCTTTGTTAGCTTCCTGCCCGCATTTCGCGGCGGCGCAAGAAACGCCATCACCCGCGTTCAAGTTTAGCAATTACATGCTCAAGGTGACTTCCCAAACCTTTCAATGTTTTCATAAATTTCTCAACTCCGTAACTGTCACGGGAAATACTCGTCATAGACTTCCTCGTTGACTCGCTATGCGTATTACAGAAGCCGCACTCCCCATTGTCCTGTCGTCGCTGTCGGCCGTTATTCGCTTCAGATTCGTTTTTTGCGTTACTCGACACGCTACTGCCCCCGCCCAACCTTTCCCCCTCTCTTGCACCTCATCTTCTTCTCGTGCGTCGCAGAACTGCCTCGCTCAAACCGACGCGTCGACTAACGGCGTGCGATCCGCCGACTTCGGCGACAATTTTGCATTCGGAGTGACGACGAGCGCGACGCAGGTGGAAGGCAGCACGTCCAAGGACGGCCGCGGGCCGAGCATCTGGGACGCGTACTCGATGCTGACCGGCGCCATCGCCGACGGATCCAAACCCGCCGAGGCCACTCAGAGCTACGACCGCTACAAGGTGAGGAGAGCAGTCGACTAAGGTGGATTTTTACCACAGGCAGGACCTTTCTGGTGCTGCTGATCGTCTCGAGCCTTTCTACTTTTTTTTTTTTGCTACTCTTTATAATCCCGATGCTTCGTAACACCCCCACTTACCCACTCCCCGCTTCCCCGCCCTTTCGCCTTTCCCCGAATTTCCTCTTCCTGCCCGCTCTGCAGACTGATGTGAAGTTTCTCAAGGAGATGGGCGTGAAGAACTACCGCTTCTCCATTTCGTGGCCGCGAGTTGTGCCAGGTGAGTTGCGAATGTTACCACGTAACTTATATTCATACTCGGGAATGTTTTGGAGGAGATGGGAGTGGAGAACTACCGCTTCTCCATCTCGTGGCCGCGAGTTGTGCCACGTGAGCCGCGAATGGTACCAGGGAAGCCGCCCATTTCTCTACGAAATCAGTAGGCGTCTCGACAAGATGAAGTACCTCTTTTGAAGCCTTTCCCAGAAAGCTTTCCGTTCGCCACTCTTCTCTAAGTGCTTTTAAACGAGATCTTCTCCGATTGAATTTCGCTTGGTTTTCCACCCGTCCACTCACCACCTTTTTCTGTGCCTCCCCCAAATCTCCGTCCTCCAACATTCGCTGTATCCTTTGATTGTCGCAGCGGGTGTGGGTGCGTTGAACGCCGAGGGCATACGCTTTTACAATGACTTCATTAACGAGTTGAAGGATAACGGCATCGAGCCCGTGGTTACACTGTACCACTGGGATCTGCCGTTCCCTCTTGAACGCGACCAGGGGGGCTGGCTCAACGACACCATTGTGTAAGCATCCCTGATACTAGCATCATGCTCTTGTGTCACTACAAATAAACGATTTACGCACCACCAATATGTATTTCTGTTGGTATTTTAATGTCTATTGCTTTGCACTGATATTCTTCTTGGAAATTTGCCGTTGCTGGTTGATTTCAGGCGAAGTTACGCCAACTACGCCGAAACGTGCTTCCGCAAATTCGGGGACAGAGTGAAGACATGGATTACATTTGCCGAGCCGCAGCAGATCGCCGTGCAAGGCTACGGCACAGGAGGCATGGCTCCAGGCCGCTGCTCGGACCGTACAATTTGCACCGCGGGAAATTCGTCCTCTGAGCCTTACATCGTCGCGCACAACATTCTGAAAGCGCATTCGTTGACGGTCCAGATTTACCGCCAGAAGTACAAGAAGCAGCAGGGCGGTCGGATCGGCATTGCGTTGGATTGCGTGTACCACTACGCGGCTGACGAAACGCGCGCGAGCAAAAACGCGGCGCAGCGGGGGATGGAATTCGCGTACGGGTGGTTCGCGGACCCGATCCGTTACGGAAGCTACCCGCGCTCCATGCGTTATTTCGTCGGCGATCGCATGCCGAAATTCAACCGCAAGGAAACGCGACGCATGAGAGGCGCCACGGATTTTCTCGGGTTGGATTTTTACTCGGCCGTTTACGCGTGGCCGGGAAGCAGCGCGGGAGCTGGAATCCCGTGGACCGACGCGCGCGTCTCCACTTCGCGTGAGTATAACGAGGATGCTATCGGGAGTTGCTTCCAAAAGTTTTCTCCTAAGACCCACAAACAAAACGCACGGTTATTTTGTAACATGTGACTCAGACCTGTGTCCCATCCAATCATGTGTGTCCCATCTCTCCTACCGTTCTGCCTGTGTGTGTGTGCAGCCCGTAACCCCCGAACCGGCAAGTTTGTCGGCGAGCCGGTAAGCACCTCTCCTGTTGTGCTCCTTGAGTAGTTGCATTACGTTGGTGATTCATCCTCACTGTCCCTCGCACGCACCTTGTTTCAATACATTTGCACACCAGCAGCTATCTGTGCCCCATACAGTACCCGGAGGTCTCTTGTCCAGCCATTGGATAATGTTTCTCTGAATTATCCCGCTAAAGACTCCCTATCATTTGTCCTCTCGTCTTGCTGTCCTCGCTACAGACCTCCTCGAAGTGGCTCTACGTGGCTCCCGAGTCCATGAAGAACATGCTGCTGTGGATAAAGAACCGTTACGGCAAAGATGCAGCTGTAATCGTTACCGAGAATGGTGTTAGCGAGTACAACGTGCAGGGGATCACGATGGACAAGGCGCTGTGCGACGTGCAGAGGGTTAACTTCCACAAGAGCTACCTTCAAAATGTTCTGGACGCCAAGAAGTAAGTTTCACTGTTTTGGGGTCGTGATTGTAAATGAGGGTGTTGCTAGCGAGTACAATGTGCAGAGGGTCAACTTCCACAAGAGTTACCTCCGGAGCGTATTGGATGCCAAACAGTGAATTATTTTACATATTTAGGAGGTGTGGTTGTTACTCTCCCTCCCCCTGTCACTTTCCCTCCCCCTGTCACTTTCCCTCCCCCTGTCACTTTCCCTCCCCTCTGTCACTCTCCCTCCCCTCTGTCACTCTCCCTCCCCTCTGTCACTCTCCCTCCCCTCTGTCACTCTCCCTCCCCTCTGTCACTCTCCCTCCCCTCTGTCACTCTCCCTCCCCTCTGTCACTCTCCCTCCCCTCTGTCACTCTCCCTCCCCTCTGTCACTCTCCCTCCCCTCTGTCACTCTCCCTCCCCTCTGTCACTCTCCCTCCCCTCTGTCACTCTCCCTCCCCTCTGTCACTCTCCCTCCCCTCTGTCACTCTCCCTCCCCTCTGTCACTCTCCCTCCCCTCTGTCACTCTCCCTCCCCTCTGTCACTCTCCCTCCCCTCTGTCACTCTCCCTCCCCTCTGTCACTCTCCCTCCCCTCTGTCACTCTCCCTCCCCTCTGTCACTCTCCCTCCCCTCTGTCACTCTCCCTCCCCTCTGTCACTCTCCCTCCCCTCTGTCACTCTCCCTCCCCTCTGTCACTCTCCCTCCCCTCTGTCACTCTCCCTCCCCTCTGTCACTCTCCCTCCCCTCTGTCACTCTCCCTTCCTCCTGCCACACCTTCCCTGTCCCTTCCTGCCACTCCCTGCAACCCACTCTCCATATCCTTTCCAACCCTGTATGTATCATGTGCAAGACTCGATGGGACCATGGACCATGATGGATAACTGGGAGTGATTCCAGGGCTACACACAGTGATAGCACACTCTATTTTACTTTCCCACCCACTCACCCACTCGTGTTCTTGTCTCTCTCCCATCTCGGCTATTCCCTGCTCTTTTTTTTTGCAGCAATGGAGTGAATGTGCAGGGCTATTTCGCGTGGTCGATGATGGATAACTGGGAGTGGTCACAGGGATACACCCAGCGATTCGGCATGCTCCGTTTCAACTGCCGTCACTCACTCATTACGTTTCATCTCTTTCCATCCCTCCATATTCCTTTTTTTTACAGCAACGGAGTGAATGTGCAGGGCTATTTTGCGTGGTCGATGATGGATAACTGGGAATGGTCGCAGGGCTACACGCAGCGATTCGGCATGCTCTATGTCAACTTCACGCACCCACTCAAGCCTCGGTACCCCAAGGCTTCCGCCATCTGGTTCAAGAATTTCTTAGCTACTAGCTAGTACGGTAGAAGTATTTGTCGAAACCTTCAACTGATTCTTGACATGTAGTTTACTGTAGGCCGAGGATGTGTAGAGTGTAGCAGGGCGAAGGGAAGTGTTGTTAGCGATGCCTCTCGCGTCCTCGTTAGTATCCTGGACGCAGGGTCGTGGGTTCTGTCTTGCAGATGCGCATTGCGAATGTAATTATCATGTAATGGTATGCACTGACACCAAACGAAGAGATATGTAATGGCTTCCATCCAGCGGATGCTTGTGCTTAACGCACCTACTACATTATCCCTTACGTAATGAATAATTATGGCGCCCAGCTTCAAGCAGAACGCATGAAGAATGAATGCGCCCAAAGATGAAACTGAGAACAATAACCATAACCATGGCATCAATAATACGCCCTAACAAAGTAAAAATATGCATCTAGATTTAAGACTCTGAAGCGTACGCAGAATATCCATAAAAAACATAAATTAGTCCAGGCAAAACTGCTGCCCGTCTTGATCGTACAGTATTCAGGTCGGACCACAGGCAGTGCATGCGATGCTAACCACTGCAAACAGGTTGAACTTGGCTTCAAGGACGGCCATGGTGCTGTGCGGTTCTATGCAGAGTGGTGTAATGCAGTGCAGTTTGATGCTGTAAGAAGCCATCCTGTGCTAGGAGGTGGCTGAGCAGGGGTTTTGAGTCCACGATGCAAAGCGGTGCTGTGAGATGCTGCTATGTTGGGAGATGACGACTGAGCAGGGTCTCAAACGAAGCATACAGGTCCTTGTTCTCGGTCCCAAAGATCTCCTCTGCTTTCTTCAGAGTCTCCTGCTCATAGGAGCAATGGGTTGTTGGAGCAGGGCAGACAGAGACGTAAGAAACGGGAGGAAGGGGGAGAAGCGGGAGGTAAGTAAGGAACAGCAGCAGGGTCTCAAACGAAGCATAGAGGTCCTTGTTCTCAGTCCCAAAGATCTCTGCTTTCTTCAAAGTCTCCTGCTCAGACAGACCAACAGAGGGCGTGGGGGGAAGCAAGCGAGGGGGGAAGTGGGAGGTGACGATTGAGAGGGGGGTCATAGAGGAAGCATAGAGCTAGAGCTAGAGCTACTGAACTATATGAGTCGACTCAAGAGTCATCTAAGAACTCACCTCACGTGTCTTCCTGTGTGCGTTAAGCTCCTTGATATTCGCCAGGAAGAGACTGAATTGCTCATAGGACAGACGGTTCCTGTGGATAGTTGAGGGAGAGGACGGAACGAGAGGAGTGGGTGGGATGAGGAAGAAGAAGCGGAGAAGTCATGAGGTGAATCAAAGGTCTGCTTGATAATTTGCCAGTAAGAGACTGAACTGTTCATAGGACAGGCGATTTGTGTGGATAGCAGCAGGAGAACGAGCAAGAGAGAGGAATAGGATGGGAAGACGAAGAAATGGAAGATTCTTGAGTTGATTCAAAAATCTTCTTGGGATTTGCTAGGAAGTGATTGAACTGCTCGTATGAGAGACGATTCCTCTGGATAGCACCAAAAAGGAGGAGGAAGAAAGGGATGTGGATGGGTGGGATGGGGAAAAGCGGGTGGATGCTTCTTGAGCCAAAAAGGAGATATAACGCAAGGGTGAAACACAAAGAGGGTGAAAGAAAGGGGTGGGTTGACCAGACAAACCCCTTTCTTAACGCAAGGGTGAGAAACTTGCTCAAGCGTACCTTGCTCGTCGGAAAAACTCCTTGCCGTCCACCCGGGGAGCTCGAGCTGGTGAGAGGGAGAGGGGGAAGGGGAAGGGGGGGAAATAGGGAGAGGAGGGAGAGGGAGAAAAGTATAGGAGTGTGAGAGAAGAATGTTGAATCAAGTATTTTCAGACGCTCATCAGAAACTCCTAACCATTCACCCGGGGAGCTCGAGCTGATGAGAGGGAGAAGGGGAGAGAAGAGAAGGGGGGAGAAAGAGGGGAAGGGGGAGAGAGTACGAGAGACAGGTATAGACCGGTACAGACGGTCGTTACGAAAACTGCTTGCCATCCACCCGGGGAGCTCGAGCTGATGGGAGGGAGAGAGGGAGCGAGAGAGTGGGGGGGAGAAAGGAGGTTGAGGGAGAGGGGAGGAGAGGGGAAGGGAGAGGGGGAGAAGGGGAAGGTGTGGCAGCAGTGCTACTGTGGGTGTAGACGAGGGGGTGGTGAAGGCTGGGGAGAAGAGCGCGGGGGTCATGGAGGGGCGAAGGGAGTTGGGTATCACTGGTACTAAAGCATACACTGAGCACGTTTCTAGCCCAAAGTCTCACCTTCAGTGCGCGAGCGGGGAGAGGCAGCAGTGCTCCCGTGGGGTGGCGTGGCCGAAGGGGTGAAGGCAGGGGAGAAGAGCGAGGGGGTCATGGAGGGCGTGCGTTGGGGAAGGGGCAGAGGGCGGTACTCAGCTTTCCCTAGCGACTCACCTTCAGTGCGGGAGCGGGGAGAGGCAGCAGTGCTCCCGTGGGAAGGCGTGGCCGAAGGGGTGAAGGCCGGGGAGAAAAGCCAAGGAGTCATGGAGGGGTGGAGGGAGGGGTGGCACGGGCACAAACAAAACCCCTTGCTTTCCCTACCCATTTCCCCATTCCCATTCCTATGCTCACCTTCAGTGCGCGAGCGGGGAGAGGCACCTGTGCTCCCATGGGGCGGGGTGGCGGAGGGGGTGAAGGCTGGGGAGAAGAGCGAGGGGGTCATGGAGGGCGTGCGTTTGGGGGCGGTAGGGACAGAGGGCGGTATTCGGCTTTCCCTAGCGCTCACCTTCAGAGCGGGAGCGTGGCGAAGCAGCAGTAGAGCCGTGGGGAGGAGTGGCCGAAGGGGTGAAAGCCAGGGAGGCACATACGCCCCCCCTACCAACTCTCATTCTCACCTTCAGTGCGAGAGCGGGGAGAGGCAGCAGTGGAGCCGTGGGGAGAGGGCGTGAAGGCGGGGGAGAAGAGCGAGGGGGTGAAGACACATACTCACACCATACACTGCCATTCTCACCTTCAGTGCGCGAGCGGGGAGAGGCAGCAGTGCTCCCGTGGGGAGGCGTGGCGGAGGGCGTGAAGGCGGGGGAGAAGAGCGAGGGGGTCATGGAGGGCGTGCGTTGGGGCGTCCGCAGGTTCCTCAGACTCGCGCTCACACTGCTGCTGCTGCCCGTGGTGCTTGCTGCTGCTTGTCCGGTAGTGGTGATGTTGCTGCGAGCTGCAAGCAAAGGGATGGGGGGAGAGGATAAAGGAGAGAAAAGAGTTCCTCAAATTCCTCAGACTCGCGCTCACACTGCTGCTGCTGCCCGTGGTGCTCGCTGCTTGCCCTGTGGTGGTCATGTTGCTGCGAGCTGCACACAGGGGGAATTGGAGCAGGGAACAGGGGACAGGGGGCAGGGGGGATGGAGGGATGGAGGGAGAGGGGAAGAGCGAGGGGGTCATGGAGGGCGTGCGTTGAGGAGTCCTCAGGTTCCTGAGACTCGCGCTCACACTGCTGCTGCTGCCCGCGGTGCTTGCTGCTGCTTGTCCGGTAGTGGTGATGTTGCTGCGAGCTGTAAGCAAAGGGGATGGGGGCAGGGGGGGTGGGAGGCAAGGGGAAAAGGGGATGCGTTGAGGCGTCCGCAGGTTCCTCAGACTCGCGCTCACACTGCTGCTGCTGCCCGTGGTGCTCGCTGCTTGTCCGCCAGTGGGAACACTGCCCCTAGCTGCAAGCAAAGGGGTTGGAGACGGACGGGAAACAGGGGAGGAAAGGAGGGGGTCATGGAGGGCGTGCGTTGGGGCGTCCGCAGGTTCCTCAGACTCGCGCTCACACTGCTGCTGCTGCCCGTGGTGCTTGCTGCTGCTTGTCCGGTAGTGGTGATGTTGCTGCGAGCTGCAAGCAAAGGGATGGGGGGAGAGGATAAAGGAGAGAACCGCAGAGGTCCTCAAATTCCTCAGACTCGCGCTCACACTGCTGCTGCTGCCCGTGGTGCTTGCTGCTTGCCCAGTGGTGGTAATGTTGCTGCGAGCTGCAAGCAAGAGGCGTGGGGGGAGGGGCGAGTGGGTGGAGGCGGGGAGCGGAAGAGTGAAAGGGGCCTGGAACGGGGGTTATTGGGGCGTACCACACACTACCACACACAACCACACACAACCACACACTACCACACGCCATCACTCACTACCACACAGTACCAGACACCATCACACACCATCACACTCAATCAAACACTGTTACACGCGTGCCACGTCAGCACACACACCACATACCTGCGTCCTCTCCTGGACCCGCATGGTCCATGGTAGACGCCACGGTGGCAGAGCCAGCAGCAGCCGTTGATCTTGCCACGTGGTCAACCCTCAGTGCTGTGCCCGCCCCTGGCCCTGCCACTCCTGCTGCCAGAGATACCGAGACATCTGGTGGAGTGGAAGGGAGGAAGGCGGGGGCAGGTGAAGGCAACATTACAGAGAGTAAGAAGGTGGGGAGCTGATATTAAGGATCATAACCCTCAGTGCTGTGCCCGCCCCTGGCCCCGCCACTCCTGCTGCCAGAGATACCGAAACATCTGGTGGAGTGCGAGGGAGGATGAGGGGTGTAGTGGAATGGGAGCAACAGGCAGTAGTGAAGGTAAAAGTCTGGGAGTAAGAATCATACCCCTCAGTGCTGTGCCTGCCCCCGGCTGCTGCTAGCGGCGAAGAGACATCTGGAAGAGTGAGCGGGAGGAAATGAAGCACTTGACTCGAACATCAGGCTTGACTCGGGCACCGGTGGTTTCCTGCTCACAGCACCACTCTCCACCCACTTCAACCCATCCACACCTGTTTGCGCCTTGATGGTTGAAGCACTTGTTTAGGACGGCACACTCGACCCGAGAACCGGTGGCTTCCTGCCAAGAGCACCGATTTCCACCCACTTCAACCCATCCGTACCTGTTTCCGTCTTGGTGGTTGAAGCACTTGACTCAGACGTCTCACTCGACTCAGGCACCGGTGGCTTCCTGCCCGCCGCACTCTTCACCATGCCCAACTGATGCCCACCTGATACCCACCTGATACCACCTGATACCCACCTGATGCCCACCTGATACCACCTGATACCCACCTGATGCCCACCTGATACCACCTGATATCCACCTACAGGGCCACAAGTGTCAGCGTATCAAGCCGCACCTGTTTGCGTCTTGGTGGTTGAAGCACTTGATTCGGACGTCACACTCGACTCGGGAACCGGAGGCTTCCTGCCAGATGCACTCTCCGCCATGCCCACCTGAAACACTCACAATCACACAGAATCATCGTTACAATCACACAGAATAACGGATATAGTCAGTCCCTAAACAGGTATAACGCCCTCTCCAATTCAAATCTGAGCTCCAGTCCACCATGTCACTTCCAATCACAGAATTCGGTATAGTCAAAACCAACATAGTCACAACAACTTGCCGGTTTTTTGCCTTTCTTTCCCCGTTCAGCTTCCTCCTCTAATTGTTTTCTCTCATTCGGTTCTTTTATCATCTCCCATTTTAGGCACCCTACCCTCCCCCCCTCTCCCCTACCCCAGCCCCCTCCCCTTCTCTCTCCGTCAACAAACCCCCCTTAACCCCCTCCCACCCCGTCCCAAACCTATCTCTCCGTACCTCGGACGCGGGCTCGTCGTCGTTTTCGTCCTTGAGTTGTTGCATGAGGGTGCGACGGAAGGTCTCGAGCTGGTGACAGGAGCAAAATGGAAACGTTGGAGGAGAGATGAGAGAGGTGTGCAGGAGAGAGCGGAAGGGTAGGGAGGGGGGGGGAGGGGGGAGGGGGTAGGGGGTGGAAGGGGAGAACGGAGGGGAGAGGGAGGGGGAAAATAATGAGAGGAAGAGCGCCGGAAGCAGCTGAATGGGAAATGAAAGAACGAAACGAGAGGCGGGACGGCGGAAGAACGAAAGAGCGTTACAGAGTGTCTCTCGCCTTTGCGACAATTCGCAGCCATTCCAGCCAGCCTTGCGACGACCCTACAACAACAATGAAGCAGCCTACCTTGGCAACGTCTCTGTTGAGTTTCTTCACCATCGCCACGAGAGCTGTCTTCTCGCCTGTGAGCTTGGCCTGGAAAGAGAGGGGACAGGGTAACGCACGCGGCAGTGACATGTAAGTCCACGTGTTTGCAAGTCAAGTCAGCAAGACAGCGACGCCAGATCGGAACAGCAAAAGATGACGAGAACGAAACGCATCAAGCGTTGTGAAGAGGGATTTGCAAGCCAATGGAAGAGAGAGAAATCATCTGGTACAGCGTCACCTTGTCTCGCAGTATTACCTGGTAACCACACTGCCTTTCCTTCAGCAGCATCACCTGCTCTACGATGCGAAGAATATTAATGAAAGGAAAGAAGAAGGAGATCCTACAAAACCGCAGCGTTACCTGTTCCTCTTCTGCAGCCTCCCGTTTTTCATTGGCCTCCTTTAGCGTGAGTTCCAAGTCGGCAACTTTCGCCTCCAGCGCGTTAATCGACGACTGGCTCTCGCCTAAGCTACCCTTCAGCTTACCCGCCTCCGCTTCTAGAGTGTGGATACGCGCTGTGAAGGCCTGAGCGGCTATTAATCGGGATAAGTTAAGAAGGTCGAAGGGATCGGCGGGTAGGACGTCTTTAACTACCGCGGGGATTTCATCCTGAGAGATAACGCCATTGCTGCCAACGTGATTCTCCATGTTCTTCCGAGCTATTGCTGCGAATCAGCTGACCCTGGCGAATCCTGGAGGTGTCAGGAAGGTGGGTTCTGTATCAGAACTTATTCGTCGAAAGACGGACCTGCACGTCAGAGAGTTGCTGTACTAAGTATCACTTAAACGATGTTGGACACGGTCCCTGCTACCACGAGCGGGATCACTTCGCGGTGTCCCATGGAAAAAACAGGCGGGGAGTATATCGATGCAGAGCCAGGAAATGCACCCGAACTAGGACCGCCTGATAATGCCGTCCGGATAATGGACCAGAAACACTCGCGTACCGGACCCCTAACCGATTGCACGGAATAATTAACCAGAAATTCTTGGCGCTATGATGTGGACTGCAAGTATCAAAAAGAGCAACCGTGATCTAAGAAGGAAAAGAGAATGCAGCGTGGCCCGTGAACGTGCAGTCTGCAGCCGGAATCAGGATTGCGACGACTACCACACGTATAACCCAAGGGATAAACAGGGAACTACCTAGGAACAAGGTCGTCGAACGCTACAGAAATCAAGTACCACTCCAGGAACTAGCTGTATGTGAACAGATGTTCCAGCAACAAATAACTTTCTGTTCTAGACGCCGTCAGTGAGGGCTTGTGTATGTTTGATTGGATAGGTGTAGTTTTGATGGTTCCGTACCTAAACTTTCGGGACTCTAGGCACGGCTTGGGCCCAAATCAGGCGGGAAAATGTGGCTCGGACTACCAGCTATCTCATGATGCTTTCGCACTTAGCGGAAACTGTGGGGCTCTGGTGGTAACTGGGACTAAATGGAAACATGGGGCATGCTTAACAAAGAGTGGCATGAACCTGTCACCACCAGCTTTTGCCTAACTTCAAGGGAGCAGGTTTGGGCACGGGTCTGGAACATGGATGCAGGGTGCGAAGCGCGCGTGAAGTGCGGATGTCCCGTACCTCCAATGCTTGGCTCGGCGACCCATGAACACAGCCTACAGCACACCCAGCTTCAGTGATTTCGAAGCAGAGGCTCGCAGCTAAACGCTTTGTTACGGCTATTTTTTCATCTGCATGTTCTTTTATTATTCCTACACGTTACTGAGAGCGCTTCAATCGAGGTTCCCTAGATTTTGCTGCTCCCCTAGATAATGCCCCCCCCCCGCGACAAAACATGTCGGGTTGACTCAACTACTATTGAGTCGATTATCAGAGAGCTTCGTCCACGCCCGCTCTTCGTGAAGCAATCGTCAGGGACCGCATTTGCGTAGTTGGTAGCAGCTCTTGTTCCGTTTTTTTCGGCCACTTCCTTGCTTCTCGAGCAATTCCGATCCCATGTAACATGACTTCAATCTCGTCGAACTGCCGCGTCGTCATCCTGACCCATTGACGCGGACGAGAACGACCATCTTGTGACCGCGACCGATATCTTCTTAACGCAATGAGACGAATCGCGTTATCGAGGTGCGCTCACTGAGCCTCGCTGACGCTGCGGGACGCCTAGCTGCGCTTAGAGTCGATTTAGAAGTCACGAATCGCGCTATTGACTCGCTACTACATAACAAGGTAATCTATACCAAGATTCGCAGTAGTTTTGCCATGGCTTCACCGACAACCGACGGCAAGAAGGAAAGCTCGCACCACCACCATCACCACACCTCCTACAACGCGATCCGCGGAAACCTCGAGCGCGCGCTGCGCGGAAGCATCGAGCGCATGCGCGGGGCGCGGGGGAGCATCGAGCGCAACGCGAACGCCGTCGGCGGAAACCTGGAGCGCGCCATCCGCATTGCGCGCGGAAACCGCCAATTGCCCGCCTATCTCCTCTTCCTCGTCGCGCTGATCTCCCTATCGGTCCTTATTTCCCAGTCCTCTGATTGGACGCCGTCCGCGGTCTTCGACAACGCCGATTCGATAACGGTCTCTTTTCCCTCCGAAACCGACTCTAGCGACGCGAAGGCAGAAGCGGGAGGTGCGAATGCTAGTGGTGCGGGTAACGGACCTGAGGGTGGATCGCAACCGTCCGCTGGGGGACCATCTAACGGCAGCCAGAGCGCGTCAGCAGATGCTACATCCACAACCTTTGCTCCTGCCAGCAGCAGCAGCCCCAGCGGCAGCAGTCCCGGCGGAGGTAGCAGCAGCAGCGAAAGCAGCAGCGCCAACGATAATAATGCCGCCACTAGCAGGGGAAATGGCGACACCGGGAGCAGCAGCGGCAGCAGCAGCAGCGGTAGCAGCGGCGGCAGTAGCGGGGACAGTAGCGGCAGCAGCAGCAGTAGCGGGAGCAGCGGCGGTGGCTCCTCTACTGGCGCGCTGCTGACGTCAGATTCCCCAGTGGTTACTCATCTTTTGGCGGGAAACCTGACAGCCGAGAAAACCCTGGTCTGGGAGACCCCCTGGCTGGGCGTTACTAAGGAGGAGTATTTAATATCCGGGACTAAATACCTCTACGTTCCGACTGCGGGCGATTTGTGCATGGGGATGGGGCATTTTAAGTGGAGCCTGGTGTGTAGGCTGTCGGAGGCCGCGTTCTTAAATCGAACGCTGGTGCTGGACACGATGGTGTGCTTAAACGGGGCGCATACTAACGAGGGGTATGGGCTGGTGCGGCCGCTCTATGCCTACTTCGACTTGCACGAGTTAAAGAGGTGAGGAGGGCAGGGGAGGGACAGAGAGAGCAGGAACGTACGTCAGGGGAGTGAGTGAGAAGGATGGGTGTGGTATGGGTGGCATAGTAACGAGGGTAATGGACTGGTGCAGCCGCTCTATGCCACGAGCTGACAGCACTCAGAATGGTATGGTTGGGTCGAAAGTGGTGCAGAGGGGTATGGGCTGGTGCGGCTGCTCTGTTCCTACTTTGACTTGCACGAGCTGAAGAGGTGAGCGGCTGGGAGGGGAGGGGAATAAGGAAGTGGGCAGACCATCACCCGCCCCATCCACCCTTCCCATCCCTACATTGCTCCCAAGCGCCCTCCCTTCTCCCCTCCCTGCTCCCATCCCTGTCCCCCTCCTCTATCCCCTTCCCCTCCCTGCTCCCCTCCTGCCCCCTTCCTGCCCCACCTGCCCCCTTCCTGCCCCTCCTGCCCCCTTCCTGCCCCTCCTGCCCCCTTCCTGCCCGCTTGCCTTGCCCTCTCCTCTCCCCGCTCTAGCTATCTCTCCACATCCCTCCTCTTTCCCCACCCACCTCCCCTTCACCCCACTACAGGGCTTCAGGGCAGTCGTCCCGTCCGCCCATCTCTCCACTCTCATCGCTCCGTAACTCTCTCCCCTGCCCTGGGCCCACTTGATTTCCCTCTTTTGCCCCCCCCCCGGATCTACCTCCCCTCCCCCGCCCGCCCACCTCCCCTTCACCCCACTACAGGGCTTCAGGGCAGTCCCTCCATTTCCCCGTCTCCCCTCCCCCACCCACCTCCCCTTCACCCCGCTACAGGGCTTCAGGGGTGTCGTACCATCCGCCCATGTCCCCACTCTCATTGCTCCCAAGTGTGTAAGTAGACGACTTTTGAGACGTCTCGTGAAAGAAGGAGTGTTTTGAGACGTCTCAAAACACTCCTTCTTTCACGAGACTTTTGAGACGTCTCAAATGTCGTACCATCCGCCCATGTCCCCACTCTCATTGCTCCCAAGCTCCCTCTCTCTTGCCCTGGGGCCCCTTTCTCTCCCTCTCTCTTGCCCTGGGGCCCCTTTCTCTCCCTCTCTCTTGCCCTGGGGCCCCTTTCTCTCCCTCCTCTTGCCCTGGGGCCCCTTTCTCTCTTGCCCTGGGGCCCCTTTCTCTCTTGCCCTGGGGCCCCTTTCTCTCCCTCTGCCCCCTGTTTTTCTCTGCCTCCTCTCTGCCTCCTCTCTGCCTCCTCTCTCCTCCCCTCTCCTCCCCTCTCCTCCCCTCTCCTCCCCTCTCCTCCCCTCTCCTCCCCTCTCCTCCCCTCTCCTCCCCTCTCCTCCCCTCTCCTCCCCTCTCCTCCCCTCTCCTCCCCTCTCCTCCCCTCTCCTCCCCTCTCCTCCTCTCTCCTCCCCTCTCCTCCCCTCTCCTCCCCTCTCCTCCCTTCTCCCAGCCACCTGCCCTTCACGCCACTACAGGGATTCAGGGCAGCAGCCCCATCCGCCCATCTCGCCACTCTCATCGCTCCCAAGCTCCCTCTCCCCTGTTCGCTTTGGCTTCCTTTCTCCCTCCATTTCCCCGTCTCCCCTCCCCCACCCACCTCCCCTTCACGCCACTACAGGGCTTCAGACCAATCTCCCCATCTGCCCATCTCTCCACTCTCATCGCTCCCAAGCTCCCTCTTTCTTGCCCTCTTCCCCTTTTCTCTCTCCCTGCCCATTCTGTCTTCCCCCCCTCAGCCACCTCCCATTCACGCCGCTACAGGCATTCAGGGCAGCAGCCCCATCTGCTCATCTCCCCACTCTCATCGCTCCCAAGCTCCCTCTCCCGTTTCCTCCCCCCTCCATTCCCCCACCCTCCTGCCCCAGCCACCTCCCATTCACGCCACTACAGGCATTCAGGGCAGCAGCCCCATCGTCCCATCTCGCCACTCTCATCGCTCCCAAGCTCCCTCTTCCCTGCTCTCCTCCCTTTTCGCTCCCCCAACACCTCTTTCTTTCCCCCTGCCCTGCCCATTCTGTCCCCCATCCCCCAGCCACCTCCCCTTCACTCCCTTACAGGGCTTCAGGGCAGCAGCCACATCCGCCCATCTCGCCACTCTCATCGCTCCCAACCTCCCTCTCCCCTGCTCCCTTTGACTCCCTTTCTTCCTCCATTTCCCCGTCTCCCCTCCCCCAGCCACCTCCCCTTCACGCCACTACAGGGCTTCAGGACAGTAGCCCCATCCGCCCATCTCTCCACTCTCATCGCTCCCAAGCTCGAGCCAGCAGCAGCGCTGGCAGAGGGGGTGAGGAGGGACGTGCAACTTATTATCCGGAATCTCACTTCCTCTACGGATTTTGGGTTTGCTTCCTGTGACGCACCAGAGGGGGCGGTGAGTTCTGGTGGTGGTGAGTGGTTGGCAGTGGTGTGGAGGTGAGCGGTTATGGGTGCTAATCATGGCTTGGGTGGTGGTGGTGGTGGCAGCAGCAGCGCTGGCAGAGGGGGTGAGGAGGGACGTGCAACTTATTATCCGGAATCTCACTTCCTCTACGGAGTTTGGGTTCGCTTCCTGTGACGCACCAGAGGGGGCGGTGAGTTGCTTGCAATGGTGGTGGTGTGGTGGCTGGCAGTGGTGATGAGTGGTTACGGGTGGTAAGCATGGCATGGGTGGTGGTGAGTCGGTAGCACTGGCAAGGGGGGAGAGGAGGGAAGTGCAACTTATTATCCGGAATCTAGGTGTGTTTTGAGTCGACTCAAAACACAACTTATTATCCGGAATCTAGGTGTGTTTTGAGGCGACTCAAAACACAACTTATTATCCGGAATCTAGGTGTGTTTTGAGTCGACTCAAAACACAACTTATTATCCGGAATCTAGGTGTGTTTTGAGGCGACTCAAAACACAACTTATTATCCGGAATCTCACTTCCTCTACTGTTTTTGGGTTCGCTTTGTGCGATGCACCAGAGGGGGCGGTGCGTGGCTGGCAGTGGTGGTGAGCGGTTATGGGTGGTAAGCATGGCATGGCAGTGGTGGTGGCAGCAGCAATGGCAGAGGGAGGGGGGCAAAGAGGGAGAGGAGGGATGGGAGGGATGTGCAGCTGGTATTTCGAAATCTCATAGTTGACTTGTGAGTCGACTCAAAAGTCAACTCGGGATGTGAGGGACGTGCGGGATGTGCAGCACACCCCCAGATGGCAGCGGACCTCTGGCCGCTGCACCTGGGGGACATCCTCCACACGCTGGAGGGCTAGAGGGTCACTCCGGGGGGGGAGGGGAAGAGGGGTGATTGATGGGCTTATGGGATTGAGGTTATCATGGATAGAACTGCATGTCTGTACCCCTGCTGAATTAATACAACGGACCATTTGAGAGGAGGGATGTGAGGGATGTGCAGCTGGTATATCGAAATCTCATAGCTTCGTGTGCCATGGTAACGAGGTGACTTTTGAGTCGACTCAAAAGGCAGAGAGGGAGAGGAGGGATGTGCGGGATGTGAGGGATGTGCAGCTGGTATTTCGAAATCTCATAGCTTCTATCTACTGATTTCGGGTTTGCCCATGCTTTCTGCTGCCCATGTGAGTCAAGATCCCATGGTTGTGCTGCCTATACCTCTGCCACTCGTTTGCTCTCCAGTCATTGATGCTCACTGAGACATGTCTGAATCTGCTGCAGGGTATTTTTGAGAATTCTCAAAGATCCCATGGTTGTGCTGCCTATACCTCTGCCACTCGTTTGCTCTCCAGTCATTGATGCTCACTGAGACATGTCTGAATCTGCTGCAGGGTATTTTTGAGAATTCTCAAAGATCCCATGGTTGTGCTGCCTATACCTCTGCCACTCGTTTGCTCTCCAGTCATTCACAACCCTCCCTTTCTTCCTCCCTTGCTCCTCCCTTCCTTACTCCCTTTCTTCCTCCCTTTCCTCTACTCCTCTCTTTCTTCCTCCCTTTCCTTTATTTACCCTTGCCCTTCTGTTTTTTTCCTTCCACCAGTCGCTCTCCTCCATTTTTTCCTTCGTTCTTCTCTCAAGTTTTTTTCCTTTCACCAGTCGCTCCCGCGCAACTGGTCTCTGCTGCCCATGCGAAGTCAACTTATGAGTCCGCCCGCCCCTCACCGCCCCCTTCTCATTACATTTGTGCTTGTCCCTTCCAACAGTCGCTCCCACGCAACTGGACTCTGCTGCCCATGCGGAAGGAGCTCCAGTGGGTTATTTCCAATATTACACTCCAAATGAATAACAGCAACTACGATGTAGTGCACGTGCGGCGGGGGGACAAAGTCCTGGACTCAAAACGATGGCCCAACCTCGACAAGGACACACGACCTGACAGGTATATGTCTGATGTGCATGTGCATGAGGCATGAAGCATGAGGCATGAAGCATGAGGCATGAAGCATGAGGCATGAGGCATGAGGCATGATTTGTAGTGCACATGTGCCGGGGGGGGAACAAGGTGTTGGACCTGAAGGGATGGCCCAACCTCGACAAGGACACACGACCTGACAGGTATGTGTCTGATGTGCATGTGCATGAGGCATGAAGCATGAGGCATGAGGCATGAAGCATGAGGCATGGGGCATGAGGCATGATTTTTAGTGCACATGTGCGGTGGGGGGAACAAGGTCCTGGCTCAAAGCGATGGCCCAACCTCGACAAGGACACATGACCTGACAGGTATATGTCTGATGTGAAGTGGGCATGTGCGTAAGCATGTGCACGGGCATCTATGCATGTGATGCAATCTGTCGTGCATGTGCGGAGAGGGGAGGAGACAAGGTGCTGGACTCGAAACGATGGCCAAATCTCGACAAAGACACGCGACCTGAGAGGTAGGTGAGTGGAATGTAATATCATGCGGGGGCGTGCGTGCACGTAAGACTGTGTCTGCGTGTGCATGTGCATGTGCATGTGCATGTGAATGTGCATGTGCATCTGCGGAGAGGAGACAAGGTGCTGGACTTGAAGCGATGGTCCAATCTTGGCAAAGAGATGCAGCCTGGAAGACCTTCAGCCCTGTCCAGACCGAGTCCAGCCCGACCTGACAGAGACAAGGTTCTGGACTCGGCCTGGAAGACCTTCAGCCCGGCCGATTCCTGAGGCGCCTCAAAAGACAACCCTTTGAATTGCCCCGGCCGATTCCTGAGGCGCCTCAAAAGACAACCCTTTGAAGCGCCCCGGCCGGTTCCTCTACATCTCAACGGACGAGCGCTTCCCAGGCTATTTTTGAGGCGCCTAAAAAATCGTCTCAAAAATTTTGAGGCGCCTCAAAAATCGCCTCAAAAGATAATCTTTTGAAGCGCCCTGGCCGGGCCCTCTACATCTCAACGGACGAGCGCTCCCCAGGCTTCTCAGCGTCGTTCTCTCCCACTCTTCCTTCCCCATTATCCCCCCATCCAGTCTGCTGAAGCGTCTACCAGAGCTGAACCTTCTCTACATCTCAACGGACGAGCGCTCCCCAGGCTTCTTTGACCCCCTTAAAGACCCTCTTCCTTCTGCTACCTCCTCTGCTGTTGCATTTCCTGCCAGTCTCCTCAAGCGTCTACTGGAGCTGGTTCAGCCTGGTAGATTCCTCTACATTTCAACGGACGAGCGTTCTCCGGGTTTCTTCGACCCCCTAAAAGAAAAGTTCAACGTTCGGATGCTCGGGGATTTCAAGGACTTATGGGCACCGGGGAGTGCGTGGTATCAAGTCTACTCGGACATGCTGGGGAAGGATGTTACTTTCGACTCGTACATGGAGGTATGCTGTGTGGTGGTGTGCGGTGGTAAGTGGTGGGATGCAGTGGTATGCGGTGGTGTGCGGTGGTGAGCAGTCGAGGCTCATTACATACTGCTGGGGGATTTCAAGGACCTCTGGGCGCCTGGGAGCGTGTGGTACCAGGTCTACTCGGACATGCTGGGGAAGGACGTCACCTTTGACTCGTACATGGAGGTATGCTGTGTGGTGGTGCATGGTGGAGTGCGGTGGTGTGCGGTGGTGTGGTGTTGAGGCTCGTCACATCCTGCTCGGGGATTTCAAGGACTTATGGGCGCCTGGGAGTGCGTGGTACCAGGTCTACTCGGACATGCTGGGGAAGGATGTCACCTTTGGCTCATATATGGAGGTACGATGTGTGGTCGTGTGCGGTCGTAAGCGGTGGTGTGCTGTGGTGTGCGGTGGTGTGCGGTGGTGTTGAGGCTCGTCACACGCTTCTGGGGAATTTCAAGGACTTACGGGCGCCGGGGAGCGCGTGGTATAAGGTCTACTCGGACATGCTGGGGAAAGACGTCACCTTTGACTCGTATATGGAGGTATGTTGTGCAGTGGTGTGCGGTGGAGTTCGGTGATATGCTAGGGACCAGGTCTACTCGGACATGCTGGGGAAAAATGTGGAGTTTGACTCGTACATGGAGGTATGCTGTGCGGTGGAGAACAGTGGTGTGCGTGTATCAGGTCTACTCGGACATGCTGGGGAAAGACGTCAATTTTGACTCGTACACAGAGGTAGTGTGCGGGGGTGTGCCGAGGCCATTAGCTTTCCTTTGAACTCTTTTATTCTGCGTGTTTTGCTTGCATTTTGCTCACTGCAACATCTCGTTCCTCGTCCAGGCAATGGACTACCGAGGTCACAAGGCTAGCTCAGAAGGTTATAAAGATGTGCAACAACTTCTTTTACCATGCATGTAGCTCCCTCTCACCTCGCGTGCATGTGCCCTCTAAAACCCCTCATTCAGGCAATGGTGGACTATGAGGTTACAAGGCTGGCTCAAAAGGCCATTGAGACGTTCAACGACCTCACCAGTGATCCTAGGGATGGCATGCAATCATGACCTAGTTGTACTGTAGTGAAGTTGTGTAGCTGACATTTGAATGGAACGCTTCGCATACTGTGGACCACAATGATCAGCAGTGCCATGCACAACTAATACAAGTTGTTCCCTTCTATGATTCAATACAGCATAAATCGCACCAGCTCATTCTTAGTACACAGTGTGCTATCCAAAGCAAAAAAAGGACCAGATTCTATCAACGTGTGCAGAGAGCCATTGTGACTGATGTTGTCAGATAGGCCTGACCCTGAATGAACAGCTTGCTTGGGTGTATGAATGCGCTGAGGAATGAATTCACATCACAGATTGGAGACGGTGGTGGGCTTGAGGAAAACGAGTGAAGATCTAGGAATGGGGGTAGAATGTGTGTAGGTGGGGAGAGGGGGAAGGAAAACCTGGCATCTATTTTGCCATCATCATCTTTACAAACTCCTCATAATTAACTTGGCCATCCCCATCCACATCCGCTTCCCTGATCATTTCGTCAACCTCCTCGTCCGTCAGTTTCTCTCCCAAATTCGTCATTACGTGCCGAAGCTGCAAATTGAAGAGTATGGTTCTTAGAAACAAAAAAATGCCAAAAATATATTAATGGAAAGGCATTCCGAAAAAAACTCCTAAGTCTCTGATTTCCACGGGGCCGACGTACCTCCTGCGCCGAAATAAAACCGTTCTGATCCTTGTCAAATACCTTGAACGCTTCCTTTAGCTCCTCTTCGGAATCAGTATCCTGAGGTAAGAACGCACGCGACGGTTACAAACCGACCTGGAATGTCTCTAAAACAAGCGGCTTGTGAATACTGACCTTCATTTTCCTCGCCATAAGGTTCAGGAACTCGGGGAAGTCAATTGTTCCGTTTCCGTCAGCGTCAACCTCATTAATCATATCTTGCAACTCGGCCTCAGTCGGATTCTGACCCAGGGACCGCATGACAGTGCCCAGCTCCTTCGTTGTGATGCTGCCTGAAGACACGCCAAGAACAACATGAGAAGGTAAAATCCATGACAGAAACGGAACACGTCGCTCGATACTACAGCATACGACATTAGCATGCTGAAAGAATACGTCTTTCAACTTGTTCACTACTCATCACGCCATGTCTTAACCACCCCGAACGCAAATTCTGGCCGACGCACCATCCCCATCTTTGTCGAATAAGCTAAAGGCTTCCTTGAACTCCGCAATCTGATCCTCAGACAACTGGTCGGCCATTTCTAGATAAAGATACGGATTCTAGTGGTCCCACCGTAACGAGAGTACGGATGAGCAAACCACGCTAGAGACGTGACCTAGAAAGAGCTCTAGGACCCAGTTAGCTCAAGTCAAGCTCATCAAAGAGGAAACCGAGAAGGAAACCTCCAAAATGTCACGATGTCATGGCTTCGATAACTGACCAGTGGTGAAAATTCACTCATGCCGAATTTTGACTTCCTCCACAAAGCACACACAAACTTTATTGTTTTCGTTCTAGTAGCTTTTGAAAAATGGAGGTTATCTGGAATTAGATATGACCAGTACCCTTATTTATGCTGTTGGGCTGAGAATTTCAGCCTTAGGATCTTTGCAGAGAATAGGCTAGTAAGTGCTAGAGTAGCACAGCGGAAGTCTTGAGTGAATGTACTTGTGCTGGTATGTGAGAACAAGTAATTGATTAAAGTAAAGGGCATACAGGAATATATAGAAAGGATAGATTACAAGGAACGGTTATGTTTATCGAGACGCGTAGCGCTTTGACTATCGAGGTGGTTACTGTTCACTGAAGCGTCGCTTGCTGTTACGTAACCTCCAGGCGGTTACAGCTCGCAACCTCTAGTTGCGGTTTGATGTGGTACGCGCCTTTTCGACTTCGTACTCCTTTTGTTGTGCTTCAGTATCGGGTGAGGTTCGATACTACAGAAACGCACTAAGTCATGCGTTTATTTTCCCAACACTCCCCTTCGTTTCTGGAGTGTCGACGTGGTCAGCTTCGGTGACGTGGTCCAATCCGGTGAGCAGCATGCAGTACTCGAATTTCCCCTTTGGTAGCTTCTTGGTGAGATAATCTGCTGCCATCTCGGTGGTCGGGCAGTAATCCAGCTGGAGTTTTCCTTTCTCGATTTCGTCTTTCACGAAGAAGTATCGCAGTGCGATATGCTTGGTTCTGTTGGCGAAGCCATTCTTGTTCGCGATCCGTATCGCGGACTGGTTGTCGCTGAAAAGCGAGAAGCTGGGTACTTTCGCAATTTTCGCTTCTTCCAGCAGTTCGCGCAGGTACAGGCCCTCCTTGGTAGCAGTGCAGAGAGCAATATACTCTGCTTCAGCAGATGATAGTGCGACGAGTTCCTGCTTACTTGATTGCCAGGAGATAGTTCCGACGGGCTCAAGACGGTAGATGTAGCCGGTGCGAGAGCGACGATCGACACGATCAGCAGCATGATCAGCGTCGACGTAGCCGAGTAGTTTTAGGTCGGTCGTCGTGTTCTTGTGATATGTTAAGCCAACTGTTGGCGTCGAGATGAAGTAGAGAAGGGCACGGTTGAGTTCCTTGAGGTGACGTTGTTCTGGGCGCTTGAGGTAGGTCGCTAGTTGACTGGCGCTGTAGGATAAGTCCGGTCGGCACGTAACGGCGGCAAAGAGTAGGCAGCCCAGTTTCTGTTGATATTCCTGGATTTCAGTAGGCGACAGTGGGTTGGTTTCTTCGGTTGGATCGAGCGATAGGTGACTGTAGGGTGTTGCGATGTGCGTCGGTGTGATGCAGAAGCGTTCGGCGATAGTGCTTGCGTATTTTGAGGCGCTGAGACGAATAGTGTTGTCTTCATCGAGGATATTGAGCCCTAGATACTGCGTGACGTTGGGTGAGACTGTGAGGGAGAGATCTGTCTGAAGCTCCTTTTCGAACCAGGTGACGATGGTGGTAGTTGACCCGATGTAAAGCAAATCGTCGACGTAGACGATTAGCAGAACGTAGTCGTTGTCGCGAGTGAGACGATACATGCCCTGGTCATGGGGCAGTTGGTTGAATCCGATGCGTTTGAGTCGTGCGTGCAGGTACTGCTGCCAGAGTCGCGGTGCTTGCTTAATTCCGTATAGTGATTTTAGTAGTTGGCAGACGAGGGAAGGGTCGTCGACGAACCCGTGGGGCTGTTCGACGAAGATTTCAGCGTCGACTGGGGCGTATAGAAAGGCGTTGGCGACATCGATTTGTCGGAGTGGGCGGCGGCGTGAGGCGGCGATGGCGAGAAGTATGCGCAGGGAAGTATGTCGACTGACTGGTGCGAAGGTTTCAGTGAAATCGCGACCATACTCTTGGTCGAATCCGCGGACGACCCATCGAGCTTTAAACCGTTCGATGGTTCCGTCGGAGTTGGTTTTGATCCGGAATACCCATTTTCCGGAGAGAATGGGTTTGTCTTGTGCGAGTGATGCAGGGACGATCTTCCAGGTGTTGCGGTCTGAGAGCGCTTTTAACTCCTTTTCCATGGCTTCGCGCCATTTTTCTTTGTGTTCCCCCCCCAGAGCCTGCTTGACAGAGCGAGGCTCGTCAGGTGGCGACGAAGTCCCGTGCACTGCAGCGACGAGTCCCAGGACTTGGAGTCCGCTGGGGGTGTGACGATTCAGCAAAGGGTCCTCGGGATAGACTGCTTCGTCTCCCGCTTCAGGATCAGGTGCGAATCCGGGGCCGTATCTCTCAGAGATGTCGGTGTTGACGGGTTGGGGTGTTACGTAACCATTGTCGGCGAAATGGTAGTAGGCGTCGGCATTGTTACTGTCGCGAGGGTTTTCCTCGTCCATGGGGATTGGGACGGAGCAGTAAGGAAGGGGTCCAGCAGCTTCGGAAGCGCCATCGACGTTCTCTTCTTCCCAGTCAGCAGCATCAGAGGGTGAAGCAAAGGCTCGGGAACCAGAAAATCCGCCGGTGGGGTCGACGTGGCGTGCGATGTTGTCCAGGTAATGGTTGAGGGTGAGTCGCTCGTAGAAGATAACGTCACGTGCTGCTACTGTTTCCTTTGTGTGGACGTCGAAGATTCGCCATGCTTCGTAATATTTTGCCAGCCCGAGGTGTAGACCCCACTGTGCACGTTGCGAGAATCTCCCTGCGCGTGCAGTGTGTGGGCGGTACTGTACCATACACCCAAAAACTCGTAACATTTTTGTGTTGCCCAGCTTCCCAGTCCACAACAGGTGCGGAGATGCGTTGTTGGGCAGTGATGACGAGGACAGCAAGTTGTGCAGGAGGACAGCGTGGTCCATCGCTGCTGGCCATTCTGAGTTGGGCAGTCGAGTTCCACGTAGCAGCTTTCGCATGGTTGTCTGCAGGGTCCTGTTCATCCTTTCTGCCACACCCTGCTGTTGGTGAGCGTAAGGAAGAGAGATGAGGCGTTTGATGCCTCTTTCTGCCAAGAACTGTGTGAAGCTGTTTGACTGGTACTCCTTTGCGCCATCTGACTGAAAACTCTTCAGTTTCGCTCCTGACTCTCTTTCAGCAACAGGTAGCCAGGCTGTGAATGCTTCTAGAGCCATGTCTCGTGACGGTAAGTTGACGTGCCAGACAGATCGCGTTGCGGCGTCGATGAAGGTGATGACGTAGTTCAGATCTTCACGTCCTTCCGTTCGAGGTATGTATAGTATGTCGCTGTAGACTTTCTCGAGTGGTTGATAAGCGGGGGCGCTCGGATTGTGGTGTGACGGGAACGGTTGGTGAGGCAGATCTGCTTCCGGGCAGATGAAGCAGGTGCCGCGTGGTCGTTCGAGTTCTCGTCCGTTGGGAAGAAGTAGGGCGTTCTTATCTAACACTCCGGCTCGTATTGTATTGTAGAGTGTTGTGTTTCCAGGATGTCCAAGACGTTGATGCCATATGTCTTCGGAGGCGCTGTGACCTACGGAGCGTCGATAGAAGTCTGCGTTAGCGAAGAAGGCGGCGTGAGTTGCTGCACTTCGATGGACGGCGCGTGGTGCTGGCGTTAACTGTTGGGCGGCTGTCGGTGGCGTGTCGATGATGAGAGGTGGAGGTGCGACGGAG